TTTAAAATCTTTCATCTTCAAACCTTTTTTTCTATACAGTTGGGCGTCGTCTCCCTATCTTTGTTGGATTCGCTTCTACAAATCGGTTGTGAGGATTTGATGCTAGGTATTGATTAGCTAAAGTTTCTGTCAATTTTACTTATTTTTTCCATATTTATTTATTGAGTTAGGGATAGCTGAGCCTATCCTACCATTCTGAATTTAATCAACGTTGCTAATATTCTCAAGACATCATTATTATGCTGTTATCATACACTCAAGGCCTATTATTTGAAAAATTGTGAAAATGTGCATTACAGTCTTGGTTCTTCGGCACCTTCTGCCTATGCCGCACGTTACCCGCGCTCAACTAAGCAAAGTTCGAGATAGATCGCAAGCAGTTGCATCTGCCGAACGGTTGCTTGAATGTGTACCTCAATGCATGCTCACCTTCCCCGAGGTTACTTTCATTCGTTTTCAAACGTTACTTCATAGACAACGTATTTTTTAGATCTGCTCAGAAGACACTATGTCGCTGTATCTGCAAGAAGGAGCACAACTTGTGGAGAAACGAGCAAGATCGTGTTCGGCATGGAAGTGGCGCTATGATGGTGTCCATCCTAGTCCGTTGCTTTTCCGAGGCGATAGCGATGATGAGCCGACTTTGCACACGGTAGTTGATTTTTCCAATAAAATCTGCCTGTTGGAGTATTTTCTGGTGATGAAAAGCTCCTACTGGATTCTGCTATTTCCAAGCAACCATAAAGTTTTTGCTTTACCTTCAATATTCCTGGATCAGAATTAGCTGAACCATTTCTAATACTTGTTACTGTTATAGTACATTCCTCCTTCAAGCTGTTATCTCTAATACAAATTAGCGCGGTGATATATACTTTAGGTCAATAGTGTGAAGTCCTTACAACACAGCGATTTGAGATTCACTAATAATAGCGTGGAAAACAATATATTTTACAATTGAGTTCTATAGAAATTGCTTCCTAGAACCTCTCATGCATCCACCACAAGTTTCAAGAAATTACAAAAAAATAGGAAAAAAATTGTAATTTTTAAGATTAATTAGGGTCATATTTTGCTTGCTGGAG